GTGAAAATAGTGCACCAAGGGTTTAAAAATTAGATGCATTACTTATTTCACACAGTATGTAGTTCATTGTGAAACTCATCCCATGACCTAAATGTTATCTAAAGGGCAAATGGAATATATTCATTAGGAGAATGACCATGTTCTAAGAAGTATTAATTGAAATAATTTATACAGAACAACAACAACAAAAAAAGACATATATGGAATGAAACCTGTACATTGTTTTCAAAATGGCTGTTTCATCGTTTTCCATAAATTTCACACGTTTTTTCCACATTTGCCAAAATAGGAGAAAAAGGGTAGAATTTTCCAGAACTTGTAACAAGATTTAGTCAAGACAAATAATGATTACTTATCTTTTCAGGCTGGTCAATACTTGTGAGCTTGACTCCAAAATTGTTACAACTGTTGTATATATTTTGGACATCAGGAAATCACAATGGGTGATTTTTATGACTATTACTAGTAAAAAGTATGGAATGCAAACATAGGTTGATAAAACCCAGTGACAGACCATGCTACAGACATGCTCCCAGCTAAATCCAATCTGCACTCTGCAAACGACCTCAGGAAGACACATATCTCAAGAGGTAGCATAGCTTTACAATGAAGGAATTATATTACATTGGTCTCTTCTAGATGAAATAGTGTTTCAGTTATTTGACCTTGAAAACACAAAATTTGAATCAGTCACAACTAAATTTTAACTACTACTATTTCTGTGTGCTCAGCCTGAATTCTATCTCATCAACTTCCAGGAGCACCATCCTAACCCTGACCTGTCAGTTCTTCCAAGATCCTTCACTACTTGTCTGACCTGCAGCCTTCTCCCAAATGTGAGGTATAATATCTTCTGGAAACCTTAGACAGCATCAGAACTAAATTACAGAGAAGACTCTTAATGTCTTCACCCCCAGACCTCACATGGTAATAACTCAAATATCCAGCAATATGTAAACCAGTTCCTTGATGTTAGAGCACATTTACCTCTTTTGGCCTCTGCCCTAAAGTGAGAATTGAAATAATTTCTTACTTCATGCCACAAGGTAAATCACTGTGTGCTCCTTGTTCAGAAGTGAATATTTAATCTAACACTGGCCCTAGTCTGACAAGGCCCATCAACCTCTGTGCCAGCTGGCTGCCTATACATGCATTACCTCCTACATGCCCTTGCAAGTCCCAGGAAGTCTAGACTAATCCCCAACCTTATTTTCTTTTGTTAACCTGGCCTCTAATCAAATGCATTTCTCTCACCAGCAGTTTCTGCCAGTGCTAGATTGCAACTGAGATAAGAGTTGTCTGGCTAGCTCTAGTGCTCTGTGTAATTCAGCATTCAGTTTTGAGATGGATTTTATAACTTTTTTGGAGAGCTGGTGGCCAAAATCCTAAGCTCAGCAGTAACTCTGCTCAAGTGAACTCAGTCCATTTCCAAATCAGCCACCAGTATCCCCAACCACCAGCACAAAAAAAGAGCCAGACAGTCTCTTCTGGCATCAGCCTTTAACTAAGGCTTGTCAGCACTAGCACTACCAAAAGACAGCATCAATACAAATGCAATCGTAATCCAAACACAGACAGCCTGCAGAGAAACATTTATCTGATCCAACCCTGTAGATCCCTGATGGACAGCTGTTATTCCATGTAGGCACTATGAATGAACACTCATCTTAATAACAGGGATTTAAACCCAACCTAAATATGGTCTAGACTAGATCTAGGCGTACAATGGTTTCTCCTCCCAAGCCTGGACAACATCCTTTATTAGGCCTTGGTTTAAATCCACTGTTGTTTGCTGGTTCACATCTCAGCCACAGGGTTAGGGCCCTAGCTATGCAAAAATCAGCCTGTGAAACACACCCTAACAGGCTGAGCTTTGCCAGCCTCAACCCTTCCCTCGCAGACCTTACTGGTGGTTTCAGTAAGTCTGTAACTCATGGGAGCTCATATTTATAGGCTGATTGCTTTAAATAGTCATGCAGTGATGACTGCATTACATTGTCATCTGTAGACCCCATCTGACAGTATTGATTCATCCCACTCAAAGGAAAGCAGATGTGTGACATGAACTGGCTACTCCAAGATTCTCTACTTTGTGTCTGAAATGTACAGTATCAATAGAGGAGATGTTTTAGCACAGACCGGTGAATAAATATGACACTGGCAACACAGCAGATCAAGGCCAACCCTGACAGTAAAGGACAAGTCCCCCTATGTGGTATTATTACTCCTTTACTAGATCACAGTGACAGAAAGGTTTCCAAACAAAATTGACCTTCATTTCATGATGACTGTATAAAACATGATAGAAAAAGGCATTCTATTCATGTGAACCAGAATTTTGTGTTGAAAACATCAAGACAGAGAAATCCTTAGAATTTATGAAAAATAATTCAAGTGGAATTTAAGTTTACTGGCACCTTTTCTAGGTCTTCTGCCTTTCAAACGTTAATATTTATGAAGGAGATTTATAATCCTCAAACTATCAATATAAAATCTAAGAACATTAAAAAAAACCCCTGGTTCCTCTCCAATTTTATGATTACACCTTTATTTTTTAGAAAAAGACAGCTGTTTTAATTATTATTTCTATTTACATATCTTGTGAAAAGGTTGTCAAGAGTTTAGCACATGAGGAATGTACCACTGACTATTGTAAAGTAAAGAAATCCAGTAATTATACAATTCAGCTCCTCCAGGAACAGCATGAGGTTTCTTCTTGCAATTTTAAAGCACTCCTTGTCACCAATAGAGAAAATTATATGTCATCTCCCACAATGATTTTCTACTTCTGATTATATCCTGGTGTCTAACTTGTGCCCTCTGAATAAGAGAATTCAGGGTCAATTAAAAAGGATTACAAGAGTAATTCTGGAGACAATGATCCTAAAACTAGAGTTCTGGTACAGGTACAAATTCATTTAGATCTGTTTGCATAAAAAACTGCCTTGACCCACGAAAGTACATCTTGACACAGAAAGAGATCCCACTTTGTAAAGAAAGCTTGCTAGTACCACAGAGAAGCCATTCACCTGATGTTTTAAAGAAAATTACTTCACCTTCAGAAGTTGAAGGCAAAATAATCATGATTGGAAAGCAGTTGCCAAGTCGGACATAACTGAGAGATATGCATGTATTTTGGTACTCCTGTATTAGCCTTATTTGTATGTACATGATTATATCTCACAAAATATAACAAATTAAATATCCAGATGTAAAAAAATTTCTTAGAAAAATAATTAAATAGTATAGAATAATATCCTTGAAGCATGAAATAATATCTAAAGTATCTTCTATAGCTGTCTATTAAAAAACTGTTTTTCAAATTCAAGAAATTTTTAAATGTGTGATTCAAGGCAAAATATAATTGCAACCTTAGATAAGATCCTACAACTGGGAACAGATTTTGTTGGGGTTTTTTTTGTATGCATTTTTCTACATCCAGAAAAGACAACACATATGCCAATAAATTAACACCTACTGAGTCATGCTCCTCTGACTTTCAAAAGTGCAAACACATAGCAACACTAATAAAATAGTTTAGTTTCAATTCAGCAGTGTCTGTTCTGTCCATGCCTAGCCAGCTCGTACACCTACGTTGGTCAGACAGTTATCATACAAGTAGGGTACACCTTTGATTTAATCAGTGCTTCTTACCTTGCTTTGATAGAGCAGGAAATGCAAGCACTAAGGGATAAAGGTATTTTCCCTGCCATAAAAGTAAACAGTGGAAATACCATGAAAACAGTCCAACCCTCCTATTACCATCTCAGGGCCATTGGTCTACATGACCAGCTGTGTCCAACAGGTACGTTCTAATAATCAGGCTGCCAGAAATTTATAGACAGCAGAAATAATGCAAAGTGAACACTACTGTTTAGATTGCATGGATGTTCATCATTTCTATATCATCTGTAATGCATGTAAATTTGTTTCAGATATTTTGAACTGACCAGTATCTATTTTAGTAAGGCATTTTCATTCCAACCTTCAAAGGAAAAGGAACATATTCCTTAGGTCAGGCTTTCCTTATGCACCACATCTGAAACTTTAAACTTGCTTTGTCTGCTGCTAACATACCACCATGGGCAGGGGACGGTCTACCGGGCCCTGCTACTTCCTGAGCTAACCCATTACAGCCTGGCCCAGCTTAACCCAACCCAATCACTTAGGACATTTTCTGGTTCATTGTTCAAACGTCTAGCTGCCATCAGCTCAAAGTTAAAGCAAATGTCATCTACCTCTGGGGCCCATGGTGAAAAATTTATGTAGTCCTGGACATGATACAGGTTTTACAGTTTTACAGCTGAAATCCTTCAAGTTCCTTGGACCTACTGGAAAAGGATTTATTTTATTGTAACTCCCAAATGTTCAGTTTTGTATGTGTGTTTTCCCACAGAATGTGTGCATTGCTTCCAACAATGTGTTTTATATTACCTGGAAGAATAGAAATGCTCTAATGGGAGGAAACAATTTTATTCTTATTGCCAGTGCAACAAAAAGCAGAACTTCAAAACGACACTGTGACTTCTCAAGCAAAGTCATCCCATTTATTTTGGAGGTTGGGGACCTCATTCTCCACTCTCTTACAGTGTGCAATTACACTAGTATAAACCCCACAAATCATGGGCCAAAGACGTAGACTTTTCTTTTTGTTTATCACAGGCAAAGCAAACTGCATGTTGTTGATTTATATGTACCTCAGTAGACAGAAAGTAATCTGTCTTTTCTTGTAATGAGTTCATCTTTACTTTTTAAGGCACACATTGGGCATGCTTTTCTGGAAATAAACTCAGTCTCTCTCTTGAGGAGTGTCCAGTGAGGATTTCATCAGAATTATAACTATGAAGAATTTCATGTACAGCTCAAGATCTGGCCTGAACTAGGTTTTGTGGTAAATATCTACTGGAAAATTAAGATCTAGAGAAACCTCTCATATCTTTTCTAATGCATCTTGTCTTACTTTATGTTGCTCAAAGGCGGCAGTAACCAGTGCCTCTCACCTTGATAGTAAAGTCCGCAGTGAGAGGCCCAGATATTCTTAAGATCTCCTTGTCAGGAAACTTCTGGAAGTCAATGCTAGAATTTTCTACAAGGAAGGAGCCTGTGATGCTGAGGCTGTTTTCACTCTTCACACCTTGGAGAGTCTTGGTTTCCAAATCTGACAAATAGAAACAAATTAACAGGAAACTAGAGCATTGAAATTTGATGTAAGTGAGAGCAGAAAAAGAAAACTAACACAAAAGAATGGTGGTGTAGATTTGCCTCCTGAATTAGTAATAATACAACTTTTTTCCCCATAGAAAATTCACAATCCCATACTTTCGTTTTTGTCTTCCATCTGCTTTTTGTCTTTGTTCAACCCATAGATTTTTAGCTTGCATTCCCCTCTCACCCATATGTCATGTCTTTACTCTCTTGCAGACATATTAATCCATTCCTACTTAGGCATTTTTGCTGTCATTTAACTCACTCTTGGAAAGTCACGCTTCTATGTAGAGCATGACTCAGACTTTGGCCGTGAGTGCTGTTAAGTTGCTGTACCCTCTTCCAGTTCAAAGGCAGGTCATTAGCCACGTGTTGCTGTGGTAGACAATTAACAGAAAGCAGGATATCCAGGAAAGAAAGATCAGTATGACAGCAATCCCATCTCTATCCCAGTGGAGCAGAAAGAAAGGTGAGTCCTGAACCCTCTTGAGCTCTCCCTCTGGCTTTCTCTATAATCAAAGCTCCCAAAAAGTGGCCATTAATTCAGATATTGTTTTGTAGCAAGTACTTGCGATTGTCATAATAAAAATATAAATAATTTATTAAATGAAAATCAACAGTTAGCAATTAGATCTGTTTCATAATCTATCTTGCCTCCCCACCAACTCCAGATTATGCTTTACAGCATATTCACCAGTAGACTGTTTCTGCTAGTTATTTAAAAGCGACAGTGTATTTCATCATGAAGGATTGCAAAGCTGAAAACCTTTCACATATATTTACAAAATTATGCACAACATAGAGAGGCAGCTAAAGCAAAATCTGAGTTGTACGGGGACATACTATTAGTCTGTGATGGTGACAGATTTTCAAAGACAGCAAATCAGAGAAATGTTTTTATAAATGTCTATTAGGTTGTTAACCATGGAAAAACGATGATTGCAGTAATTAGTCTGCTTTTCATGATGTGTCAAGGGAATTAATTAATGAAGGAAGTTGCTGAGACAGTACACTAAGAATTTGCATTGTATTAATGAATTTCTTGGTTTCCAGTGAGACTCGTCTCTTCCTTTGTGATTCACGTGGCCATGTATTTATTTCTGGACAAGGCTGTATGCATCAGGAGTAAAGATGGTTTTAAGACTTGTGTATATATAATCAGCCTCCCCTTGACTTCTCCCACAATCAAAGTTCATGGAGCAAAATACTCCCTCCCCCCACAACTGATTGTAGCTCACACATACATAAAATCATTTGATGGTTGAATAGAAAGATTCATGGAGACATCTGAAACAAGAGAGAGATATATTGGGACTTATTCACGTTTACACAGGGCAGTTAATCTAAATCTCAACCAGTGACTCAGGTAGACCTCTCTGATTCAAATCTTTTTGTCATGAAATGCTATATGGCCTGAGTGAAGACAGCTTTAGATTCATCTCTCCAGCTAAAGTATCATTTCTTTCTAAGCTGTTGTATAGCTCAATTCCCCTGTAACAATAATAAAAGTACAAAATCTTTCAGCTTGGAAGAGAACAACTATACTGGAAAAGAAGACAGAAGAGAAAGGAGGAGTGCAAATCATTTACTGGGAAAGTAATAACAGCCGCAATGGAGCAGCTCAGAAGTACCCAAAGGGCCACTTAAATCTGAAGTACAGGCAGCATTTGAACTTTTAAGAAAAGCATGATATATTTTTCTGGGTTTATAACCTATAATTTGCTGGTCTTTATTCACAGCTCTAAATCTGAAGGCCCATTAAAAAGTTATGGCACACCCTCTGCTTTCCTAACACATGCAGTGAGCTACAAAACAGGACTGATAAACCACCCCTTATTTTGCCACTTATTTTGGGCAGAAGAAATCTGAGAGAGTAGAATGGTTTGGTGTTTCACATCCTTGCTGATACTGATGTTTGCATCTACAGTGGCAAGCATAGAGGACTCTAACTGGTCTGTGCTGAAGGGAAGTTGTAATGACATTTGAAAAGCAAGATGGGGACCCCTACTTATTTTACAATAATTTGTGCTACTCAGAGGTCATGCAGTACAGTTTGGGGTTTTTTTCTGCCAGTAAATCCCATTTACTAATGTTATAGTATTTATTTGGTGCTGATGAAACAGGGAAAGGATTGTGAGCAGCTACTGCATCGGAAGGTAAGAGAGAGGGATGCAAGGGACTTTTATTCATGAAATAAATGGATTTTCCTTCAACTCTTGCAGATCCTGAGACTCCTCCTGGAGAAGATGGATATACAGCTGCTGGCATACACAGACGAAGCAGGGAAGTGTTATAGCCACCAAGTGATGGGCTAGCAGCACTCAGCAGCCTTAACTCTTTGGAGCAATATCACTCCTAAGGAGCATGGTTTGACTGTGCATGCTGCTTCAGAGTGCGTGTGTATGTTTATCTAGGGGAGCAAAAGAGATTATAATAACAGAAATGTGTTGAAGTTATGAGCAGCTTGATGGCTAAGCTCAGTTGTAGGG